GGGCTGGGATGGGAGTAAAGGATAGAAAACTGTACTTGAACAATGATTAAAATAAAATTAGAAAAAAAGAATAATTTTTTTTCTTGCTTCCTTTAAAAAAAAAAAGATTATTCAATGAGGAAAGAAGTTGCTTCAACAAATGGTGTTGGGACAATTACATACCTACATGAAAAAAAAAGAAGTTGGATCCCTAACTCACACCTATACATCAATTGCCTCTAAATGTTTCAGTGACTTAAATATGAGAGCTAAAATTATAAAACTCTTAGAAGAAAACAGGTTTAAATTTTTCGGCCCTTGGGTTTGTCAATAGAGTTTTAGAAACAATACCAAAAGCATGAGTAACAAAGAAAAAATAGAAAAATTGGACTTAATCAAAATTAAAAACTTTTATTTTGAAAGGATATTGTCAAGAAAATGGAGTCCCATTTCTACCCAAAAGCAAAGAGAGCTTCTTAAAATGCAGTTCTGAGGACTTCTAGTCAAGATGGAGGTGTAGGTAAACATGCTTCACCTCCTCACACAACCACAGAATGAATTACAATTAGACCTTAAAAGAACATGCAGAACCATCAGAAAATCAGGCTGTATGGAAGTCCAACAACCAAGGATTTAAAGAAGCCACATTTATCCAGATGTATAGGAGGGGCAGAGATGCAGAAACAGGCTGAGGGGTGTGGAAATGTGCTGTGGGGTAGAGGCAGCAGCAGCGGAATGGGTGGTCCTGCATGCATGTGTGGTGAACAAAAATGGGGATGGATACCTTGGGAGAAAGTGATTCTAGCCCAAGTCCAGACCACACAGTCCTGGGTTGCAATGCCAGGAAGATAAATCCCCTAACTTCTGGCTGTAAAATCCAGGGGGGGGGGGTTGGGGAGGTGGAAAAAATTACCAGAATGTCAGGAAACTCTGCTTAAAGGACCCACAGGGACTTAAAACCTACACAAACAAACCACCTCTTGGATTTATTACCCGGGCAAAAACTGGAAGGGTGTGAGTTGTGCAAGGTGAGCGCTGGGCAAATGTCCAGAAGCCAGGCAGCAGCATTGTTTCCTCTATGAGCCATCTTCCCCCACACAGAGCCACAAAGCGGTGATTGCTCCACCCTGGTGATTACCTATAGCTCCTCCTTACACAATTTATAGGAGCCTTTTGTATAATAGGTTATGCCACTAAGACAGGGAGTTACAGTGGCTCTACCTAATACATGGAAACAAACACAGGGTGACTGCCAAATTGAGGAGACAAAGAAATATGGTCCAAATGAAAGGACAGAACAAAACCTCAGAAAAAGAACTTAATGAAATGGAGATAACCAATGTATCAGATGCAGAGTTCAAAACACTAGTGATAAGGATGCTCAAAGAACTTATTGAGCATGGCAACAAAATAAAAAAGACCCAAGATGAAATGAAGGTTACACTGAGTGAAATAAAGAAAAATCTACAAGGAACCAACAGTGGAGGAGATGAAGCTGGGATTCAAATCCATAATTTGGAACATATGGAAGAAATAAGCATTCAACCAGAACAGTAAAAAGAAAAAAATTCAAAAACGAGGATAGTATAAGGTGTTTCTTGGACATCACCAAACATACCGACGTTCAAATCATAGTGGTGCCAGAAGGAGAAGAGGAACAGCGAGAAATTGAAAACTTATTTGAAAAGAATAATGAAAGCAAACTTCCCTAATTTCATGAAGGAAATAGACATATAAGCCTAGGAAGTACAGAGAGTCCCACACAAGTTGGACCCAAAGAGGACACACCAATGCACATCATAATTAAAACACCAGAGGTTAAAGATAAAGAGAGAATCTTAAGAGCACCAAGAGAAAAAAGAGTAAGCTACAAAGGAGTTTCCATAAAACTATCAGCTGATTTTTCAAAAGAAATTTTGCAGGCAAGAAAGGACTGGCAGCAGGTATTCAAAATGATGAAAAGCAAGAACCTACAACCTAGATTAGTTTATCCAGCAAAATTATCATTTAGAATGAAAGGGCAGATAAAGTGCTTCCCAGACAAGGTAAAGTTAAAAGAGTGCCTCAACACCAAGCCATTATTACATGAAATGTTAAAGGGACTTATTTAAGAAAAAGAAGGCCCTGGCTGGTGTGGCTCAGTGACTTGAGCACTGGCCTGGAAACCAAAGGGTTGTTGGTTTGATTCCCAGTCAGGGCACATGACTGGGATGCTGGCCAGGTCCCCAGTCGGGGGCACATGAGAAGCAACCACACATTTATGCTTCTTTCCCTTTCTCTCTTCTTTCCCTTCTCTCTAAAAATAAATAAATAAAATCTTAAAAAAAGAAAAAGCTACGGTCAATTAATATTTGACAAAGGAGGCAGCAACATAAAATGGAGTAAAAATAGCCTCTTCAACAAATGGTGTTGGGAGAGCTGGACAGCTACATGCAAAAAAATGAACCTCGAGCACCAACTTACACCTTATACAAAAATAAATTCAAGGTGGATAAAAGACTTAAATATAAACCGTGGCACTATTAAAGTCCTAGAAGGGAACGTAGGTAGGAAAATCTTAGATATTTCAAGCAGAAACTTTTTACTGACATGTCCCCTAGAGCAAGGCTCATAAAGAAAAGAATAAACAAACGCGATCTCATCAAAATAAAAAGCTTCTGCACAGCTAAAGAAAACAGTATCAAAATAAAAAAAGAACCAACTGTATGGGAAAACATATTTGCCAATGATACCTCAGACAAGGATTTAATCTCCAAAATATATAAAGAACTCACATGACCCCACTCTAAGAAGACAAGCAACCCAATTAAAAAATGGGCAAAGGACTTAAACAGACACTTCTCCACGGAGGACATACAAAAATCCAAAGACACATGAAATGATGTTCAATATCGCTAGCTATCAGAGAGATGCATATTAAAACCACAATGAGATACTACTTCACACCAGTCAGAATGGCCATCATAAACAAAGCAACAAACAACAAATGTTGGAGAGGTTGTGGAGAAAAGGGAACCCTAGTGCACTGGGACTGCAGACTGGTACAACCACTATGGAAAGCAGTATGGAACTTCCTCAGAAAACTAAAAATGGATCTGCCTTTTGACCCTGCAATTCCACTGCTGGGACTATATCCTAAGAACACTAAAACGCCAATACAAAAGAGCCTTTGCACCCCGATGTTCATAGCAGCACAATTTACAATAGCTAAGTGCTAAAAGCAATCTAGATGCCCATCAATGAATGGATCAAAAAACTATGGTACATTTACACAATGGAATTCTATGCAGCAGAAAGAAGGAGCTCCTACCCTTTGCAACAGCTTGGATGGAGCTGGAAAGCATTATGCTAAGCGAAATAAGCCAGGCAGTGAAAGATGAATACCATATGATCTCACCTTTAACAGGAACCTAAACAACAAAACAAGGAAACAAGCAAAATATAACCAAAGACAATGAAATAGAGGACAGGCTGACAGTGACCAGAGGGGAGAGAAGAGGGAATTTCAGAGGAGAATGGGTAGGGTTTACAGGAACCAATTTAAAGGACACATGGACAAAAACTAGGGGGAGGGTGGTAATGGGAGGGAAGTGGGGAGGGTTGGGTGGGTGGGCTGGAATGGAAGTAAAAGGGAGAAAACTGTACTTGAACAAAGATTAAAAGAAAAAAAAAAGAACAATGGTCAGCAGAAATGGCACCCAGCAACCAGCTCTAGCCAATCAGACTCTCACATCACAACCATTTACCCTTCGCAGGGTTTTGTGCTTAAAAACCCTGACCTAAGAACAACCAAGTGAGTCTTAACCTGCCTTCGTTGGCTGTACTTTGCCTCTTATTCCCTGCTAATAAACCCTGCTCTTTAGCTCACTGAGTCTGTCTGTTTTCTTGAACAATTCCAGCCTAACACCAGGCATCCTGTAAGTGTTCAATGAATATTTATTGGATGACTTAATGAATTCACCTTTCCTCTCATTCCCATTGCCAGTAATTCTACATCTACAGTCACTCTTATTTCTGTCCTTTTTTTTCTCGTGCTCCTGCCATGTTTGTTCAACATGCCATTGTTTCTCAGAACTATCACAAGGGCTTGCCACCTGCAGGCTAATGAAATTTGGTAAGTTATTTATATTATTGTAGTTCCTCATATAAAAATGGGGATAATAATAGTACAGACTGTCATGAGGCTTATGCACATAATGCGTGTACAGCACTTGGTCAAATGACTGGAAAACAGAATAGACACTCAGCAAATATTAGTTATTTGTATCTCCTACCCTGGAGCTCGTTCTGACCTAACTTTCCTGTCTTGTCTCCTGCCCCATATGTTCCTGAATCATATGCTTTGGTCCCAGTGGACCACTTGTGGTTACCCAAACATGACATACACCTGCATGTTTTACATAATGAGCAGCATGGAACAAGAAGCAGGCAGTGTCAGATAATTCCTTTTTTTCTGCCATATAAAGTACTGCTGGACTACCACCTAACTCCTGATTTGTATCAAAGAAAGAGAGCTGGAGAACTCTTTTAAAAAAAATAGTAAACAGAAACTAACAAGATTATTTCTAGTGCTTTTTGTTGGGCCTAGAGATTTTGGCTAAATTGATTCATGGATTTTCAGTGTTTTAGATGAGAATAGTGAGGCCCAGGAGGAATAAATAATGTAGCTGATGTTGCACAGTAAGACAGTAGCTAGTTGGGCAAAATGATTTATTTTCCCAATCTTACTGCTTCTTATTCTACAACATGCTGGTGATAAACCTGGAAGAGTCTTGTCTTATAAAAACTCATTTCCCATGTCCCAGGAGACAATTTCCTTAAATGCAGACACAACTAATTTGGTAACCATTTAACATTCTAAATTGAGAGGAGGTAACAGGTTATCAGGCACCACTGTGAGCCCAACCCAGACCCTTGGCAGAGGGACATTCAGACACCTATGTATAGGTGATTTAGAGTGAGCAAGCTACACAAAACCAGGGAGTCACTCAGTAACTACATGGGTCCATTTAGGCATTTACCTGAGCCAAGGCAGGAGACAAGCGTGAGAAACTGGAACAGCCAGATCATGCTCTTAGTATAGGAGACTGCTGCTGGAGACTCCACGGCAGCCAAGTTCATTTTTTGTAGTAATCTGAAAGTGCTTCTTACTGAAACTTTCCCTTCCTCTTAGAGGTGTGGCAATATAACAGATGTAAAATGAGGTTCAGAGCTGAGTATAGGCTAAGAAGCCCCGAAAACCCCAACAAGCCTAGTTGGGGGTGGGGCTGGGAAGAGCAGCAGCACAGCAATTGAGAGTTACTTTGCATACCGATAACAGCGGGCTAGCTTCTTAGGAATACTGAATAGTTTGTGTGAGCTTGGGAGAGGGGCATGACTTTGACCTGTGATGTTGCTGGGAGGCACCTCCCCAGTTACAGTGATAGTTTGCCCCATGCCATGGGGCCACACCTGCCTGGACTAATTATGACAGTCAAGAAAGGTGGAAAATATAGAAGTGCTAGCAGATGTAGCCGATTGTGGGAGGAGTCGGAAATGGGGTTACAGAGGAGCATCCAGGCTAGGGTTTAAACAAATAGCCATGTGTGATGGGACAGTGTGGGGCCTTGTGGGACCATGCAGGTCAAAATGGGGTGAAAGGACTCTTGCTGGGCAGCCATGAGGAGGTACCGTGTGGTTTTGGATTAAGAACTGGAGATCTTGGTGACTCTGCTATTGGTGCTGGGAACCACGGGAGGCCTGCCCACAGGAGCACTGATTACTGGGAGGAACCGGGAAAAGTGAGCTGTGGACATCTGATTTTTTCTCTTTCTGGAAGGTGGTACTTCTGACTGGCATGCTCTGAGACTGGCCTGACTGGGCAAAGGGGGAGGGTAGGACTGTGTGTTTGTGCATATTTCTTTGTTTCAAGTGATATTTAATGGCAGAATTCTACCATTATTCTAAACCTATATAACTTTTGAATAAATAGTTCCTTTCCTTTTTACCAAACTCTGACATTGAGAGCCACAGTGCTAATTGGCAGGGAGCAAAATATCCATAGAACAAAAGACCTACAGGGGATTTCTGTTTCAGTAAGATGTTCTTTATATAAATAAGCAGTCCTAATTTTATTATTATTTGACTTACATTTATTTTTCTGAACAAAGTACAAAAATCTTAAGTGTGCAACATGAATTGGAATTTTCTCTTTCCAGTTACATTCTTTTTTTCATATTTTTGTATTTTTTATTGTGGTAAAATAACCTAAATTACATATTGTGGTCACATAACCTAAATTTTAGTGTGTTACCTATATAATTCAGTGGCATTAACTTTATTCACATTGTTGTGCAACCGCCGACATTATCAATTTCCAAGGTGTTTTCATTGTGTGTGATATTATAATTTATAATGAACATATTTGGTCATTCAGATGACAAAAATATATTTCTCAAATATATTTGGTCTTTGTCTATGGTTCCTGGCTCACAGCTCTCAAAACCCTTGGAATTTTCTAAGCCATTAGAGCAATGAGAACATTGCTCTTTGGTCTCTTGACCTCAGTGTAACCATGCAGAAACTTCATTTCTTTAATGTGACCCTTTCTTCTTTCTTTCCTTTTGATTTAAATTGTCCTTGTCCAGTCTGATAGCACCATGACTTGACTCATCTGCCTCCCTCTTTCCATTCACATTTACTCCCTGAAACATTAAGCCCTTAGGACATCAGATTCTGGTCAGCATCAAACAGATGCTTAAGAATAAAGCCTCAAGTGTGTTTACCACAGAAATAGAAGTTCCAATAAACTGAAGATAACCTGTAGGCCTCAGTTGTGTTTCAGCTCTAGACCCGAAAAAACAGAATACCCTCACCAACCACATCCTTGCAAAGCCAGACAGAATGACACCGTGGCTGATATCAAGACCAGATGCAATGATCAACTACCTTCTTTCTTAGCTCTGACCAGTCAGTAGATCCAATGACCCAAAATCCCAATGACCATGATTAATGGTCTCCCTCTTCCCCATATAACACATCCCCTAAAGGCCATTGGGAGCCAGATCTTAGAGCATTATCTCACCTATGTCTCTGGGTTTGGTGTCATTTCCTTAAATAAAACTTTGCTTTCTTTGCTGCATACTCCAGTTTGGATTGTTTGGGCTTTGATATGTGCAGGTAAACAAACCCCTGTAGTTTGGTAGCAGTTTTGGTGGCTAACATGGGGCCTTTCTGCTGGTGGATTCAGTGACCCCTGGCTTGGGGCTTGCCACCAAGCTTGCAACCAGCAGCTGCCCATACCAGATGTCTTGAAGGTGGAACCTAGACAGTTGTCCACAACTGGGAGCCCCTGATCAATGCACAGTACTTGGTTTGCAGCATAAAAAACAAGGGATTTTGGAAAAGGTCTGTATTGGGAATCTGTTCTGGTTTTGAAAATCCAAGACAGCTACTGGTTAGGTTTTGCAAGTGATGACCCTAGGTAAACTAGGAAGGCCATTGGATATCTAAAATTCTATAAGACAGGCCAATAGAAATATCTAGCTGCAAACATGCACTATCCTTCAAGAGAAGGGAAAAATGCCCCCCTCCAATTGTCCAGAAGTTGGCAGGGCTGATATTGCCACTATGAGTCCTAGGGCACAGGCTCAAGAGTTGGGAATGTTTTCTCTCCAGTTCCAGAGGGGTAGGGCCATTGCCTAAGACTGAGAGGATAAAACTGACAGGCCCATAAATCAGGGTCACCCAGATAGACCCAGATGAAAGAGCATTGAGCCACAGATGGTTCTCATTTGATTTTTGTTTACAAGCTGTAGCCTGCTGACCCTTGATTGTTATTTTTACTTTAGGAGAATTATCCTTATCTAGTTTGGAATCAGTGCTATGTTAATAGTTCTCAATGAATTTTAAAGTTTCCCACTGTTTTCTATGCTTCTGAAAATTTAAAATTACATAGGAATTATTCTTTCACTAAATGTGGTAGAGCTGCTTTATAATACCAGTGAGGCTTGGTAAATATTTGGAGATTAGATCACTGAATATCTTTTCCATTTTTTCTCAGGTTAAAGAGTGTTTCTAGTTACAAACTTTCAATTTATGAACTATTATAGATATATAGATATACATCAGAGAAACCCATTGGTTCTTTCTGCCACCAGATGGCATTATCATATTTGTCTTTTGGAAAGATCACTCTGGCTGTGGTGTAGAGCAGCAGTCCCCAACATTTTTGGCACCAAAAACTGGTTTCATGGAATTTTTCCACAGACCAGGGGGTGGGGGTTGGTTGCCGGATGATTCAAGCACATTACATTTATTGTGCACTTTATTTCTATTATTATGACTTTGTAATATATAATGAAATAATTATACAATTCACCATAATGCAGAATCAGTGGGGGCCTTGAGCTTGTTTTCCCACAACTAGATGGTCCCATCTGGGGGTGATTGGAGTCAGTGACACCGGAAGTATGTTGCTTATGTCTGGTCCACTCTTGTTTTTGTTGCTGTCACTGCAGAAAACCCTGCTTCACAAAGATAGGATGTTGGAAATGGAAGCAGGCTTTTCAGTGTTTTTGTGGCAGTCTCAGGATATTCACCTTGACTTTATTTTTTATTTTATATTTTGCCTGCAACAATTTTTTATTTCATTTTTTCCTTTAAGGCTTCTGAAAATCTGCACATAGACAAGGCAATGAATTCTCATAATAAAAATACCCCTGTCCACACAGCCATGGTCTCCATCAAATTCCATGGTGAGCATGTGGTATGTCACATTTTATTGCATAGGTACATTTTCTTATGAGTCTGAGGTTTTGATCAATTCTTTCTGGAAATATCAGCTTCTTACAAACTGCTCCCTTGACTGGTAAATACTATGCTACTGCATTGGGCTCCGTGAAGAAGGAACACAGAATATGTGTTAAATTACCCATTTTGTTCTCTTGTGATCTGTATTCTCATAATGTGTAGGTCTTGTCAGCCTCATGGTAAAGTCTTGTGTCATTCATTCTGATAAGCACTCCATCAATTCTCAAAACAAACAAACAAAAAACAAAAACAAAAACCCCAACAACAATAAACTTTAACAGCAGGAAAAACCTGGAAGACATTACTGTAATTTTCACACTTAGACTGGAAACAATCATGAAGTTCTTCCTCAATCATGAAGTTCTTCCTCAAACAGGAGAACTTTTTCAAAACACTTAATCTGTTTTCTGGCTTTCAATTTCTCTGTATGTATATGATCTGTTGTGGGTACAACCTTTAACTTGAGTGATTCTCCAAATAATGTTCCCTTATAATCTGTTATATAGGTCCAATCATATGGTTTAACAATCTCCTTCACCCCCCATCCTGCTTTCCTGCCACTCTTATGCATAGGCCACTTTGAGCTTTCCTTGGGAGTTGTTTACACATCTTAAGGCATCTGTAGCATTGAACTTGATTCTAAAGCCAGAACAATGCTAGATTCTTCAAACATCATTTCTGAAATGATGTCTCCAAACATCATTTTGGGAAGAATGTTATATGCCAGGGGTGTCAAGCTCATTTTCAATGGGGGCCCCATCAGCCTTGCAGTTGCTTTCAAAGGGCCAGATGTAATTTTAGGACTGTATAAATGTAACTATTACTTAACGAGGGGCAAGGAGCTCAGCGCTGCTGCTGGGTAGAAACAAGGTGCCAGGCTGAAAAACAAGGTGGAGGGCCAGATGTGGCCTGCAGGCCTTGTGTTTGCTACCTGCGGTATATACTCTTCATCAGCTAATTTTTCCACATATGCTGACTTCATGACATGGGTCTTAGTAGCTGTCAGCTTCCCGGGTACAAAAGGAGGGGTCCCAGTGACTGATCTGGAAGCCATGGATCATCATGGCCAGGCAGGCCTGCATGGGCTGGAGCTGCAGTGATAGTGGACACTGGTTTCCCCACCTCAGTGCAGCCCAATTCCCACCCCCTTTTACTCCACTCACTTCCTGCTGAGCAGCCTGTCTTAATAGGCCAAGGACAGGTGGAAAGGTGGTGGTGGGGTGGGGGGTTTGTAGAGAATGAACTGGACTGGGGTCGTGTGCCTGAGAGAGGTAAAGTGCTGTAGTCTAGGTAAGAGATGATGATGACTTAGACAGTAGCTACTGTCAGGTGAAAGAAGAAAAGCTGGATAGATTATAAAA